TCAGAACAAGCAGCACTACCCCTGTGTCCTGGTTTGTTGTTACTTGGTCAGTGTTTCCCACTGGCGAAGCTGACTGCAGCGAGACAAAGAGACATCTCCCAGGACAGCAGAACCGCACTGTCTGCGCTGGGATAGTGGGTGCCCATTTGAGGACACGTGAGATGTAAGTGACTGCAGCGCTCTGCCTGTGGCTTATTTGTTCCTTTTTTGTCACTGTGATTCTGTAGATGACTAAGAAAATTAAGAAGCTGGAGAAAGAGACCACTATGTACCGCTCTCGCTGGGAGAGCAGCAACAAGGCTCTCTTGGAAATGGCTGAAGAGGTGAGGAGGCTCTGGCTGTCCTTCTGTGCTGAGGCAGGCAGCTGGAGCAGCGTGGTGATGTGTTGTGTGACATTGGGCCGGAGCTGAGGGATAGCAGGACAGCTCCTGTCTTATTGCAGGCAGGCTGGGTGGGGGGTTATGTTTTTCCTTTCAGCTTGATTTCCTTCCCCGTACCTGGTGGTAGGACCCTCTGTCATGTGGCAGAAGTGAAGGTTAATTAGTGCAGAGGTGCGCAGAAGAAGTCAGACAGTCTCAGCGGCACTTGGCCTCTGTGGGGGCAAAGGAAGAAGCAGTGACAATAGCATCAGGTTCTTTGAATGCCACATGTTTGCTTGGTCACAAGTGTTTCCCCCTTCAGCTTCCCTTTGAGGTTTCATCTCTCCCTTTCTGCCTCTCTGTCCCCAGTGTGGTAGAGTCTGAACTGCCTCTCTGTTTGCAGAAAACCCTTCGGGACAAAGAGTTAGAGGGGCTTCAGGTGAAAATCCAGCGCTTGGAGAAACTGTGCCGAGCCCTGCAAACGGAGCGCAACGACCTCAATAAGAAGGTGCAGGACCTGTGTGCCCACGCGCCCCGGGCAGACACGGACCTGTTGGAGCCTTTGAAGGACCCATCTCGGGACAGCTCCGAGGCAGCGGTGGGAGGTGTTCCAGCCGAGCAGCGCCTGGCTGAGGATTGCCTTCACTCAGGAAAGCCGACGCACAGCACGGATCCTGCGGAGAGCCTGGGAGAACTGAGCATAGGAGCCTTGGGGCAGAGTGGGACTGAGGAACGCACTCAGGGTGCCGACTGAGCCCGTTGTGCGGTAGGCAGAGGTAGGGCGAGGGAGGGTAACATGAATGTTTCCGTAGACTCGACCTGATGCCCCTCTCCTGGTCCTTGGACAGGTGTGAGAGGACAGCCCTCCTGGGAATTTGAGATTTCCTAGCTTAGGTTTTTGGAGGGTTTTTAAAATTTTATATATATATATGATATATATATATATGATATATAAAATATGTGCAGGGCAACGTACACTTTATATATGGATATACATGAAAACTAGAATGACCCGCCTCCCTGCGTGTGCGTGAATAACTAATATATGGAGACTCAACTGATCGTCCCTTTCACTAAAAGACCTTGTTGTTGGCAGGCTGCGATTCCCCCAAAATCTAGCGCAGCTCAGGAAAGCAGGTGCGTGGATCTGCCCCAGCACGCGGCGCTGGGACAGCTGGATGTGTCGCTGCCTCCACCTTCTCAGCGACGCTCTTGCATCGAGTGAAAGCAAAGGAGCTGAGCAGGGGAGAAACGAAGCGTTTCCCAGTGCTGGATTCTCCCTTCCTCTTCTGCCTCAGGCAGGAGCGAGCTCCGGGACTTGCTCTTGTTTTCTCGCGCCCTGGCTGGCAGCTCTCTCATGGGTGAGCTGAGCAAATGAGGGTGAAAGAGGCTGTTGCCCCTCCTCTGTCTGGGTTTTGTGTATTGAACAGGGACAAAAAGAAGCAGAGAAACTGGGGGTGCCTGGTTCACCCAGGCCTCCCATGGGGCCTTTGCTCTTCCCAGAACCTGCCAATGTCTCAATAGCCTTATGATTCACAGTTGCCTCTTTGCTATACGCACATGTGCACAAGTGTATTAAACAGTTAATCCAAAGGTCTAATTCCCAAGTGTTTTGCACAAGCGTGTCTGATCAGTTGTGCAAGGGGACAGGGAGGTTCCACCTGAGCTCCTCTGTCCCTGCGTCAGGACCTCCCCGGCCCATCCCTCGGTGCCAAGCGGGCAGTCTTGGAGGTGTCCACAGAGCTGGGGCTCCAGGAGGATAAAACCTGCATCTGCTCCATGACCTGCTGCTTAAGCTGAATCGACGGGACCAGCACGAGGACCATGTTGCGGGCTGGTCCCTTCCGCAGTGTCAGACCCCCGTGGGCCCTCCAGTCCAGCCGTGCTGGTGCTATCACAGTCCCCGCCTTTCTCCTTTCCCTCTCTGCTTTCTCAGAAGACTATCTCCCAAGCGCTGCCATGTCTGGGTGGGTCCCTGCGGCATCTGCCCACAGGGTGAAGTGCTCACCCGAAGGACCCTGTTGTGCTGGGAGGGTGTTTATGGACAGACTTGGGGCCTGCTGGCATGGGGCTAGGGGATTTCTCCTTAGTTTCTCAAGACTTTCTCGCTATTCTTTTGGGAGACCTCTACTTGCTCGCAAACATCCTTGCTGCGGCTTCTCTTTACGACAGACTTTATTTTCAGCATTGCCTTCCTTTTGCTTGAAGCTGAAGCGAGCTGGCCGGAGCCATTCCTCGCAGTGGATGTGTTCAGCGGAACAGCTTTGGTTTCTCTTCCAGCAACGCAGCTGCTCTTGCATCTTCTCTCCACCGTTGTACAGTGCCCTCGCCAAGGACCTGCCACACTGCTGGGGGAGCAGCCTGCGGGAGCTGCCTCTGCATCCTCCTTTCCTCCACAGGGACTTCAGCAAGTTCAGGTCTAACGAAGGTGTCTGGCTGCAGCAGAGACGGGGGCTAATGAGTCTCCGCAGAGCCACAGTCTTGAACACCCACTGGGACGCGTTCCCTGGAGCTGAGCATGGTTTTGTCTTCTGGCCCCTTGCTGTCAACGTTGCTTCCTCCAGCGCAAGGGACACGTTTGCCTCTGGAAGGAGCCGGCAGGAGCCCCCGAGCAAGTGAATGTAGCTCTGGCCTCGTGGGACCACCCCATTCCCAGCAGCCAGGCTGAGCGAGGGCTGCAGCCGGGCTCTGAACTTCTCTTCGCACTCTTTCAGTAAAAGAAAAACCTCTTACAAAATCACCCCCCCCCCCCCCCCCCCTTTTTTTTTTTTTCCCTGTTATGGTACAGATAACCTCTGTGGGGGCTATTGTATGTATCTTCGTATCCAATAGAAATGCACCCAACCTCGCTGCTGCTGCCTCTGTTGTTTCTCATTCGTTAGGTCACGTTTGGGAGTGAATACCAGGGGCACTGGGCTGTGGGGTGGGAGTGGGGAGGCCACATCAGCCTCTGCTGGGCAATGGCTTCCCTGTCTCCCAGGGGCTCTGGCCCTGTGTTCCCAGCGGGGCAGGGGTTGGGGAGGCTGGGAGGGACCTTCTGCTGCAGCAGTGATGGGATGTCCCTGCTGGGGAGGAAGGTTGGGTGGGTCTGTCCCTGTGACCCCCGGTATCTCCTGTGTGGCTCTCCCTTGCCTCGAGCTGGGGCAGCCACCAAGCGCTGTGTGCTTGTCAGACCCCCCCTGCCCCGGGGGTCCTGGCACTGGTGGTATCAAACCCTGGACTGGCCAGCCCCTGGCGTCTGCATTGGCTCCAAAACGTCTAAGATTGGCTTAAAATCCTGCAATGATTTAAATAAGCAGCCATGTTCAGTTCGGTGTACGCTGAGGGGCTGGGACTTGTCTAATCTTGCCCCTGCGTGAGGGCTGGAGGCTGGTTCCTGCAGAGGCAGATCCTGTGATCACAGAGTTCGGTGATGCCAGGGAGACTTGGGGTAAACCCTGCCGGCCTGGGGTGGCTGAAAGGGGGTGGCAGGCGGTGACCCCAAGTCCAATGGGGTGCTCCTGGGGGAAGCATGTGGGAGCAGACCCCATCACCCACGCCAGACCCTCGCTGTGCCAACACGGCTGCTCTGCCTGCCCTGGCTCTGTGGGACCACGTACCCGGATCCTGCCCTCTCCCCCATGCCCAACACGAAGCTGATGCCGGTGCCGCGGTCGGGGCCAGGCCCAGCCATCCTGCACGCCGCAGGCTGCTCGGGGAGCTGGTGTCCGGCGATGCCACCACCCTGGGGACACGACAGAGCTGGAGGAAGTTCCCTTTCCCTTTAAATGCAAATCCCAGCCCTGGGGCTGCAGGACGGGTGTCCGGTGGACTCCGGGTGTCTGGCAGACTTGGGGTGTCCGGTGGACTCCGGGTGTCTGGCAGACTTGGGGTGTCCGGCGGGCTCAGGAACACGGCCGGCTCGGCACCGCAGGCCAGACCGGGGCCTGGCGCAGGTCAGTCCCCCCCCACGCGGCCATGGCGGTCTGGGAGGGCGGCCAGAGGCTGCGGACAAAGGGACTCCTGCAGACCCGTCCCGCTGCCGCGAAGGGCCCTGAGACACGGGGGTGCTTGGCTGGTGCCTCGGGGGGGACGGGTGTCCCCCCCCCGCGGTCTCTGTCCCGCTCTCGCTGAGGGCAGCTGGTGTCGTTCAGCCCTGGTGCGTGTGGCCATAATCCTCTTTTCCGCAGCGCTGGGGAAGACGCTGAAAGCCGAGGCCAGGCCGGCAGCCGCTCGTCAGGCCCTGGCTTTGCTCCACGCCGCGATGCTCCAGCGCAGATGCCGGGATAGCGCAGCCTGAGCCCGAGCCCGGCTGCCGGCACCCAGGGAGGGGGGTCCGAGCTCCTGGCTCCAGCCCTGCTGCCGCCGCAGAGCCGTGGTGCAGCCCACAGAGCCCCGCTGCGGCTCACCCGTGGCCGTGGCCGGCACGCCGCCGCCGTGCTGAGGGTGCCGGGGCCCCTCCGTTGTGCCACAGGCTGAGGCAGGAGGGGTGGCACCGCCCCGGCGCTGCTCCCTGGGGGGACCCCAATCCTCGTCGGCTCGGGGCAGACGCGTCCTCTCCGAGGACGAGAGGCCCTGCGCGGGGAAGGAGCCGCCAAAAGCTGCGTCCGTCCCGCGCAGGATCCCTGTCCCGTGGCTCCGGTGCCCCCCACGCCCTTCAACATGGAGGACCGGAGGAAGAAGCGGAGCCCCAAGGCCTGCCTGGCCCAGCCGACGCCTGCCGGGGCCCCACGGCCGCTGCCCCCCAGCAAAAGCACGTCCTTTGTGCTGCCGCTGCCCACCCTGCCCTCGCCCAGGCAGCGTGCCCGGCTCAGGCGGTCAGTGCCGGCGTGGGTCGGGGGTGACCGCCGGCCCCTCCGGCGCAGGGACCAGGCGGGTTCTGGGCGATGCCAACCTCTCTGTTCCCCACGCAGGACGAGCAAGGAGCGGGTGCGGGCGGGCGGCGCGGGGGCAGCGCGGGGGGCCCCGCTGCAGCACAGCTTCCTCACCGACGTCTCCGACGTCTGCGAGATGGAGGGGGGGCTGCTCAGCCTCCTCAGCGATTTCCACTCGGGAAAGCTGCAGGCCTTCGGTGAGGGGCTGCGGGACCTGGGCAGGGGGGACGGGACCTGGGGGGGATCCGGGGCTGGTGGGCCGTGACGGCTCCCACCCGCGGGCGCAGGGAAGGAGTGCTCCTTCGAGCAGCTGGAGCACGTGCGGGAGATGCAGGAGAAGCTGGCGCGGCTCCACTTCGGCCTCGACGTCTGCGTGGAGGAGCTCCCTGAGGAGCAGAAGAAGGCGGCGGCCGACAGGAACCTGGACCAGCTGCTGGCACACGTGAGCGTCGTGTCCCCTCTCCCCCTAGCCCGGCCCCGGCTGCCACGGCCGGGATCCCCACCGGCCCCGGCTTCCCCGCCGCCGGCGCCTCAGCCTCTGCCTTTGCCTCCCGCAGCTGGAGGAGCTCAGCAGCTCCATGTATCCTGGGCCAGGCGTGGGGCGGGGGCGGTGATGGCGGCGGTGATGATGGCGGCGGTGATGGCGGTGGCGGCAGTGGTGGCGGCGGCGATGGCGGGGGGGGGGGACGGCGCATCCCCACGGCGCTTTCCCTTGACCCGCGCTCAGACAGAAGCTGCACCTGGCAGAGACCCCCGACCCCGAGGACTCGGCGGCTTGACCCTATACCCGGCCCGGCTAGGAGGGGATGGCCGCCACGGGGAGACCCCACGGGAGCCCCACACCAGGGCCACCCCCTCCCTGTGGGAGGGCCGATGGAGGCGACACCGGTCACGCAACGCGGGGGCCGGTCGGGCCCTGCGAGGCCAACACAGCTTCCCCCCCCTTCCTCCCTCCCTCAACTCCAGCCCCCGCCGCCATTTTGGTGGGGCCCACAGGGCCGGGTGACGCCATCAGCCGTCGCCCGGTTGTGGGGGCGGCGGCCATGGCGGCGGCGCTGGGGCCGCAGGCGGAGGCGGAGGGATGG